AAAAATTAAGGCGAAAGGTGAGCTCAGAGAGAAGGGGAAAAAAGACAGACATTGGAGAAAACTGGCACAAAAAGAGAGACCAGGGTGGTGGAAATGGGGAAGAGGTAGCTTTCAAAGTGTCGCAATATGAGGTCACGCGAAATCCCAGGGAGTAGTCCCAAACATCAGGCAAACAAAGCAAACAAAGAAAAAGAAACAAGAGGCAAGAGGCAAGAGGCAAGAGGCAAGAAGCCACGCTAAAAACACCTGCCAAGCTTCTGCAGAGGATGAAAGAGCCGAGGCTCAATCATAAACGTTGCAATATTGTCGCAGTTACTACATTTTCTTTCTTTTTTTTTTGTTGACTTGAGTACCTTTCCGCTCTTTTAAGTTTTTGTAGATCTAAGAGTTTTACGGCACTTGCAACACAATGAGGTCATGGAAGCCTGGGTTGGGTAAAATTTGCAAAGGCAGCTTGAGACTGTTTTTTTTTTTTTAGTATGGGGTTTTACGGCGCTCGCAACTGCATAAGGTCAAATGAGGGCGCGAAACACAAGTTAGTTTTTTCTATAAACAGTTCACTGCACGGCTGGGTATGGGTTTTTTGATCTTAAAACGTTAAAATATTAAAAATTTGGTGTAGAATCTAGATATATAATTTCAGTCTAAAACAACTCGAGAATGTGAAGGATGGAGGGTCAATACACATTAACCTCTGAGTCACAGAAGACACCTCCATGAGGTCTTTCCGCCCCCATTGACGTATCATTATACATAATTAATTTAAATAATTTAGGAGGTAGGCTCCCATTCTCAACCCCGGGCTGAGAGGGACAAAAAGTCGCAGCGTAAAGACCAAATTACTAGATCTAGATACACATTTTTCCGTCACAGAATTCTAACTCGGGTCTTCTGCATGTCATGGCGAATCTCGTAATCACTACACCACAGGCACGGGTTGACTACAGAGAATATATTATGTTATGCCCTAACAAAGGATTAGGTGCTTGGCAGCATGATAGATTCAAATGATTTTTCATCTTAAGGGGAACAGATACTGGAGGTCAAGCTAAGGGATACATTCTTGTTTATGGTTTAGCATGGGAGTAAATCATCTGTTTTCCTGTGATTTGACAAGGGAGGAGGCATATTCACAGTGGGAGTAAACGAGGAATCGATATCTATGAATCATACACTCATTCCCTTATCCCTTTCCTTTCTTTCTTTCTCTCTCCCTCTTTCTCGCTTTCTCGTTTTCTCTCTCTCTCTCTCTCTCTCTCTCTCTCTCTCTCTCTTCCTCTCTCTCTCTCTCTATCGCTTTCTCTCTCCCCCCCCTCTCTCTCTTTCCCTCCCTCTCTCTTTCAGTCTGTCTCTCTGCCTCTCTCTCTGTCTCTCTCTCAACCCATCCCCCAATTCCCCATTCTTCTCT